GACTATTAAACCTGTTTTAACAAGCAAGTGTGTTGTTTCAGTAATCGCCTGTGTACATCGACCATTTCTTGACAGAACTAAGGAGATCTGAATTTTAGGGAAGATTCTGTTCACTGAGAGACAGCTGCTTTTAATGGACATGCTCTTTGAACCTGAAAAGCAGTTTTGGACGTTGGGCAACACCGCAGGGGCTGCTTCTTCATCTGTGGTAACATAGCATCGCTTCATTGACATGTGCATTTTTTAAGTCTAAGACTCTTTTTAAAAAATTGACGATCCCTGTCTTTTCTTGACTTCACTACCAGAGCCTATCTTTAAAATAAAGCCCTATGTGGATGTGTGGAGGAGATGTTTAAAGGCACAAGTGAGATAAGACATCCAAGGCCTACTAGAAACTGTATACACTGTTGCATGCACAGTTTTGAAAGTAGTTGCTTTGCCCCTTGGGACATAAACTCCTCTTGAATGTCACAGATGAAAAGCTGAGAGTGATACTCTGGCCTGAAAAATATTACCTGAGCCTCATTGCTTTAGCTAGGCAAGATATGGAATTTAAATGAAAACTTCTGAAAAAATTCCTTATCGATCTTTAGACATCCTATTATAAATTATTATTACAGAGTATAAGGAAGATAGCTAATTGTGATGCTTGTGTGACATCATTTTTCCCCCAGGACATTTGAGAATGATATATTTTCCCTGAAACACCTTATCAGATACTTGTCTTAGTTCTGTGACAGTGTGCACCACACATCATAACTTTTTCTCTTAGTTAGCTGCAAACAATACAAAATCTGACTGTTCCCACGGCATGTGAAACTTGTTCTTTTGGTCCGGTCTGGTATCAGCACAGAAGAACATGGAAAGGAATATCTTTTATGCCACCCTAAAGATTCCTTCTCTGTCCAGTTGCTCAGTGTAAGACAGTAGGAGTGGCAGCTTAAGTCAGCTACTTTGCCAGATGCTAAATCAAAACTGTTTAAGTCCAATCTAAAACAGGAAAGCATCTCCCAGCACTAGTCACCTCAAGCTACGTGAAACTAGCTGAAAACTTAGCTCTTCCTATTCACACAGTAGCAGAACATATCTTACTTTTTGCATTGGAGTACTGATGCATAATCTTCCTTTAATATTTTAATTATCCATGTAGCTAGAAAACTTAATTCTGAATAATTGTTTCTTCTTCAATTTAGTGCATTCTGAAGGTACTAGCAGTGAGGCACTGAACAGTTTTCCACATGCACATGCATGCATACATGCACAGGAAGAAAAGTTATTTCCCATGTACACAACCAACCTGACATTCTCAGCACCACAGGTGAGATGTTCTGCTTTTCTGCTACACTAATTGTATTTTCTTGCCATTTCTAGGCTGCCTCTGTCATGGAAATTAGTTATGTAAATTGTCTCTCTTTCAGTGCTTGTTTGCTTTCATTAGGTTAGGAACAAACTATAACTGTTATTAAATTAAAAAAAAAAATCTGATATAATGTGCTCTTGGACAATAAGAAACAACGTGCAAGAGAACTGTAGCTGAAGGCAAAAGGAAGACCTTGTGGCCACCTCGGTTTTTAGAGGGTGATGTCAAACCTAGGCAATAGTTTCCTTATTTGCACAGAGACATTTTCAATGTGTAGAAGATACTTAGCATTAAGGAAAGTGAAGGACACTTGACACACATGGATTTCACTGGGGGTTTTCCCCAACTTTAAAAAAAACAAAAACAAAAACAACCACTATTATGCCTTGTGGTGCAATTCTAATACACAAACTTGTGTAGAATGAGTTAAATCCCCAGGAAAAGGGTTCTAGCTATTTTTTACACCTAATTGTTCTTTAGCAGTCTGCATTAAAAAGTACATAAATTTGACTACAGGGGCTAATGGCAGCTATAGAGTATTTGAATGTCAAGGGTAGTTAAACTCACAGTGGAGAGAGAGGTGAGACTGCAACAGCCGTCCACTCTCTAGTTATTTCGGTACTTCTGCATTGCAAAAGTCTGAGATTTCAGCAAAGATACTTGGTCTGCAAACTTCAGCCACTCCGCGGAAACGCTCTTTTGCTCTGCTCTCCCGAGCAGAGGCCAAAGCATGGAACCAGAACACCTGGTATGTTTTCCATCCAAAAGACTTCTAAATGAAAGGAAGCAGGGAACGCAGAGGGTGACATCCTAATACCCACAGGAGTTGACTGGGAATTAACCCCACAAGCAGGTCAAACGACCGTGTACCATACTTCTGCAATACCAAATTTTTTGAACCTCCTGAAAGGAAGAGAGATGAGACCGGCTGCAGCAGGTAGGGCTGGTTCCCAGGCTGCCTGCACACGCCTGCCCCGCGGTGTCTTCCTCCAGGACCCATGGGACCGCACAGCCTGTCCCTGCTGCCCCATCCCCTACCCGGCACTGCAATGGCTGGGCCAGGCAGCTGTCACCCCTTCCTCCACCTCTCGCTGCCTCCCGGAGATGGGTGGCTACGCAAGAGCGAAGGCAAGTCATTTCTCTGGAGTTACATAGAAAGTGAGGTGTTTTGCAAGTCTTAAATATGGGTTTCCAAAGTCACCGTGCATGTTCCTGTGAGAATAATTGGGTTTGCCTGTTAGTCATTCCAGTCTGGGAACTGCTGAACAAACAATGGGAGTTTAATCATCTGGAAGCAGATTCTGTGAGCAAAAACACAATATTATTTTTTAATATACTTTCTCAGCTATAAAAAACATCATGGCCAACTTTCCTTTGTTGTTCAATGAAGTGTGGTAAGCTGCCTAATTTGACAAGAAAACCTCCGAGACTTTTTCTGCTGCATCCAGACTAATTTGGCTGTTAATGTTGCATGAAAGAAATAATTCTTTAGAACATATTCTTATATCACTTTTCAGGCCTAATATTTTCATACCACAGCAAAATTGCTAGGATCTCATATTTTCCTCTCACTATGATAGGGAAGATGGTCTCCTTACTAAAAACGTAATTTTAAAAAATTATTATTATAAAGCTCCTTTTAACAAATCAATAACATTGATTTTTCATTACAATGCAGAGAGCTGCACATAGAGTAATAACTCTGTTGAAACACAGATATATATATGCAAATGGTAAATTATGAACAAGAACACAAGTTATTTGGAATGAAAAATAATTCATTAGGGCCTATTTCTTTCACAGGTCATGTGCTCCTAACTTGATAAATAGCTTGGGTTGTCATTTTACATTAAACTATCTCTTTTTTCGACCATTTAAAGATCAGAACTTTATTTAGAAAGGCGTATGCATGTAAAAAAAAGAAAGAGGGACAGAGTAGGAAGTTAGACTCACTCAATCAGCTGTATAAGCATCATTCATTTCCCCAGGTAAATCAAGTATCCTGAGGCCAGCTATTTACTCATCATGTAGAAACAATCAGAGTGTGCTAGATTTGTCCAGAAAGGATTATCTTTAATATTTTCATTCACAAAGATAACTGCATTAGAGCAGCTAGTTCTCAAGTACCAAATTCCTGAATCTCACAGCTCTGCTCCACAGGGCAGCATCACTGAAAGGCTGTGAGCACCTCTGACTGTTCAGGATTGGTTTGGTTCTGCGAGATGAATGGAGGAGCGCTTCATTTATCAACCTGATATCAAAAATATTTGTCATACATGACTGCATTAACAATAAAGGATGTGGAAGTTATCCAGAGGGCTGAATCTCTACAACATTTGCACAGGAACTGTGCTGCTAGCTACAAGAGCAAATCTCACGATTTTTGGTCCAGCAGGACCGACCCAGACTGTGTTTCTGAGAAAATTTGCCATGCAATCAAGGCACCCACCTTATTTATGATTTTGTGTAAGGAACAAAGTTACCAGGAAGATGCCTCGTGGCCAGATCTGTTCCCAGTGAAGATAATAAGAGCACTCCTCCAAGTTCAGCAATAACAAAAATGGGAGTGCTAATATATAACAATTAGAAGATAAAAGACTACAGACTGAAAGTTAGGCTCAGTTGTACCATAAACTTACCTTCAGCAAGCCAGTAACTGGTGTAGCTGTGCCTTGGCATCTCCACCTTCACAGGGAAACAGAGAAATTTACTGGGTTCATAGGACTATGACAAAGAAAACGTACCACCATCAACGAATGGGAACTTTTCCAATTGAGTGCCATTAAAAAATCCAGCATATTTAATCTTCATTTCCTTTGTATCAGTCCAGTTGATCCATGTGTGAATTCACTAGTTTCTAATTCTTCAAATATTTATTTTAGCCTGCTTACAAACTGTCCAGGAAAACAAATACAGCACAGTTTTTAGGTATGTCTGTTTGTCCTCTTTAGTGAAAATGGAATGCAATCATTTCCCCCTTGTAACGAATGCGGCATGGGTTTTCATTCCTTTTGCAACAAGTGAAGTATTCGAAGTTTTATAGTCTCTTGTTGAAAGTACACTCTGAAAATAACATATTGTGTTATTCACAATCAATAAATATACAGTCATCTTGGAAAATCACACATAGAAAATGTTACACAGGTGATTAAACACATGTTAAAAGTATACTAACAATTCTCCTTAAATCCAAATTTTTTTAAATGCCTAAATGCTTTACCATACACAGACACAATAAAATCACTTTGGTGTGTAGGCAGATCATGCTTAAATTGGATTTCCACAGCACAGACAAATGTTATAGATATATTATTTGAGCACGATATTGATTATAGCTCTGACATTGTTCTGCAGAAACCGAAACAACACTTTTCACTGTAAAAGAGTGTGGCAAATCAAGTTGTCAAACTACATAGTTCAGAAGTAATCACCGCTGGGGCAAAACTGTGTTTCCAGTGTAACTCAGTGTTACGAGCGAATGTTGCTTAATATAACCCTATGTATTATAAAGAGAAAAGCCAGAGCTTTCCTTATCCAGAATCAGCTGCTGCAACACTATCTCCTGTCCCCGCTAAAAGTATGTATTAGTTCCCGCTCAACTACAGCAAACATGGTGCCAAAACCTGACCATCGGCCAGGTCCTTTTCATTTGAGTTGATTTTTAGAGGATCCTTGTTCGTCTATAATCAACTTGCTTCAGTTCAAATTGCTAGGATTTCTGAAATATTCCAAAAAATGTCTGTCTGGGTGAGTCTAGTTCAAACTGCAGTGGTAATCTGTGTTAGTCCTAGGTCATTGGACTCTTCTCTCTCTTGAGGACAGTAAGACGACATCTCCACGACTAGTCATACAGGTTTGTTTGTGCCATCTGCTTCCGGCGTAAAAGCCGGGTCTTGCACAGTGTTTCTGACTCTGCTGGTGCTCTGCCTGTCCATCCTCATCTTAAAGGGAAAACAGAAGTCCTTGAAACATCTCTTGAAGTTTTCATCCAAAAAAGCATAAAGGATTGGATTGAGGCTGCTGTTGGTGTAACCCAAAGCAATACAGAAGTAATAGCTGGATATAGCAGCAGTACTGTGGGACACGTCCCCTAACGCTTCGACCAGCACAAAAATGTGAATAGGAGTCCAACAGATAATAAAAACCGCCACGACCACAAGAACCAACCTGGTGATGCGGCGCAGGTTTCGATCTTTTTCTCGAGACCCTGAGAGAAGCCGTACGCTTTTAAGGCGCAGGATCATCAGAGTATAGCAAACAATTATAATGAGAACTGGAATAACAAATGCAAAGACAAAGACACAGATTTTCATGAAGATGTCCCACCACACATAATCTCTGTCTGGAAACTGCAAGGAGCATTCAGTGCTAGCAGTATCTAGGAATGAAAGAAGCAAGAAGAAGAAAATTGCTTTATTATTAGATATTCTAAACAATGTAATTATCATAGCATAAGCTAGGAAAGGTGATAATCATGTAATGTGATACTAATAAATGGTGTTATTATTAAATCATTCCAAGGAAATCTTTCAGTTACCATTGAAACTGGTTTTATGCAGCTGTCTCTAGAAATCACTTAGAGAGTTAGGGACTTTTTGAAATGCATAACATTGTATAAAATTTGTTTCCCATGGGAAGATCTAAAAATGCAGAGCACAAAAATAAAAATTTGTAAAGATGTTTCCATCTGAATCTCACTGAGATTTAAAGCCAGAATGAGTACCATATTCAATGGAGTAGAAATCTCATAATAATCATCAAACTACATATGTTTTTGTCTGTGGGCAAAATGGTATCATGATTTTTGGTATCATGAATAATGGGAGCAGAGCAAGGTTTTGATTGTAGGAAGATTTTTCCAATATATGATAATTGTGTAATAATCTTTTCCCACACGCCTTCTCCACTGCAAATGGAATACACGTAAGTGCTTGCATTCAGAAAACCTTATTTCCTAGCAACAGCTTCATTTCAGTTAAATAGAAGCAAATAAAATACGTATGAGCGTGGATTCAAATGGAAGCTGCTCTTTTTGCAGATCATGTCATTGAAAATTCAGCCTGCAGAGAGACTTAAGGATATGGGCCACCGACACCAGCCCACTCCCTTTCTGATTGCCCATGCCAGGATTTCGAGTCACAGGCTGTCACTTGATTTTATGTCCCAGAAATATTCCATCTGACAGGAGACTGCTAGGGAATTAAATATTTGAGGTTTTGTTTGCTGACCTCCTTGGATCTTCCAGCATATAAACCATATGGAAAACCAAGAAACAAGATAAATGCCAAGGCAAGAGAGGGGATAAATTTACAACTACTATCAGCAGTTAAACTCTACTGAGGACAAGTCAAGATTTTTCACTATGAACCGTAGCTTAGATTTTATCCTCTTGAGCACTGCATTATTCTTTGTATTTTTTTTTATTTTCTCTACTGAATTTGTCATTCCTCTATATATTATTATGTATGGGTTTTTACTGAATCAGAAATGAAGGGTGGAATGATTGCACATCGCTTTTTCATACCTGTCTCCCACAGAACTAGTCAGAAAAATTCCATCAAACCATATTTCCCTATTATCGAAATACTTCACAAATCAAGATGATATTGCAGAGAATATGTTTTGAAAAATAACTAGGGGATGAAATTATCATTATGGTTTCATACAGACATTTCTGTGGTTAGATATCAGAAAGCTGTTACTGGCTGACATCGAATACTAAAACATTCAAATAAAAAAGTTGAAATCAAAGATTAATATTTTGATGTTTTATTTTAAATAATGTAATAACTAATGGATGATTCTGAAAGCTCAAAAGTGAAGACATATCTTTCAAGCCTTATGGAGGATGCTAAGCAGACAACAGAAGTATGACTTAATAGAGTCTTGACACTCAGTCAACTTTTCCAAATCCTTTGCGATCTAGGTTTTCATAACTGTAGTTGTTTTTATTTAATTTTACTCTAGAAATGTCAACCATTGTCTTCAAAGAAGTTTTCACGTTGATTATTACTGTTATTTGTGGTAGAAATATGTTTATGGCCTAGAAGCACAATAAAATCAGGATGCAACTATAATATCTAGACTAGTAAAGCTGCATCCACGTGTGCAGTTCTGGATAAAAGTGAGGTGTGATCAGGGACAACTGCTCCAGACCACATCCAGCTACCCACTGAAACTCCCTCCCAGAGGAAACTGCCTCTTCAGATCTGACATAATTTCATATATTTATGAAAATAATTGGGTCATGCTTGCTACATTGTAATATAGCTTGCAGTTGGCAATGGTATTTTAGAATTTCAAATTATCAAATACAAATTTAATGATTGTCTTCCATCTCATCACAGTTTACTCTCTATGGAAAATCTTATTCTAAATTCATTAATATTCATGTGTTTCACTTGAGATATATATAATGCTATGAATTGTATGGAACCCGTTTACATTTTTCCAGTTTACAAATGACAATCAATCAGCAGAAATCCTTGTCAAAATGCACAATAACATAATAATTTTCAGGAACTTTGGAGGAGAATAAAATCCAATTTATTTTTTATTCTTGTTGCCTGAAAAGATGTGGAACTAAGTACGGTGTCACAAACTGAGTACTTAAGATTTCATACTGACCTTTTCCACTCTGAAAACCAAATATTAAAAATACATTAATATATTTACAGAAAAATACTGCATTCTAGATAGTACTTCAGTGTAAATATATTTTAAAATGTGTTTGATAAGCTACCATTTAAGATTAATCTTAATCTTGACATAGGAAATATATTTCTATTAGGTACATTATTAATTATGTCACTTTCAGGCATCCATACTCCTCTGTACTCAAATGGAGCCTTCATACTATTACTGGGAATGTTAACAGCATCTCTAATTTTTATTATTTTTTTCAGTGAACAATTCTTCAGCGAGAAAGGCTCCATTAAGGTCAGAGAGGGAATATTTACACAGATGTAAAATGTCTTCTACAGGGAAAATGGATCCAGAAGGACACTACTGAGAGCAATCCTGAAGTGTGAGAATAAAAGGGACTAACTGAGCATGGGGTGGGAGCTTTAAATATAATCACTTTCCGTTTGATGTTCAGTTGTTGTTTAAATCTGAATCCAACAGAGTCACCGTAGCATATAAATTATTTTGACCAACATAACATGAAGTTTCTGAGCTCCAGCTGTCAGGCAAAGGGTGGATCCTTGCTTTTCCCTTCTGCATTTATCAGTGCAATTCATGAACACACCAGCCAAGACAGTTGGCAGTAAATGCTCAAGAGAGACCTTAGATCAGACAAGCCGGGCTGAACAGTAGGGGCTGACAAACATGTGCCACTAATTTCCAACCTTGTTCAGCCCAGCTGAGCTGTGTATTACTAGTCTGGGTTTCAGGAGACAAAAAAAGGCTGCCTGCCACGTGATGTGGAAAACGCATTTAATTATTGCTGGCCTCAGGGCAGCCCCTTGATCTAAATGTCATGCTTATGGTGAATGACAAGAATACTCTGCTAGTTGAGCATGCTCCAACAAAACACCTGACCGAGCCAATGTCCCATGGCCTTCAAGATCTCATACGTAGTGGCACAATCATTCTTCCCAAATGAAGATGCCTGGAAGTTAATGTTTCCTGAGCTAGAAATTGTTTTATAGAGCCCGTCAAAACTTTACTGGGCAGAAGAGTTACAGCACTGCAGACCAGGACACTTGATCCCCCAAAGGGCTGAAAGAAGAGTTCCCAGACAACTCTCCTGTCACCTGCCCACCAGAATACCAACAGCAAGAACATCTTCAGTCAAATCAATAAACCTTTGAGCAGCTGTTACTGAATTATTTTGTTTGCATTGATCTATACTAAATGGTTTAGCACACAGCATTTATTGTCTCTGCTGGTTAAAGCAGTGTCCTTTGTCCTTATGTAAAGTTTACCATTTCTCTTTGGAGGAGTGAAACCTTTCTAATAGAAAAAAATGTTAATTCAGGAAATTCTTAATCATTTTTCAAAAGATTATTTACATCTCAAACAAGACTACCGCCAAATAAATATGCATGTCTTATATTTTATCAAGCCACCCATTAACAGGGTGACCCCAACCCAAGGACATCATTAGAGGTCTCAAGCCTTTTGAAGACACTGAGGTGCTCTTGCACTACAGTCGTGCTTGTGGATATGAAGTATATGTGTGTGAGAATGCTTCTCCCCTTTCCTTCTCAAGGAGGATTTCAAAATAAGATTAACCCCATAGCAGCACAGTTTTGGCAATGAGTCACCAGTTATAGGGGCTAAATCCACAGTCCTTCATGGATTATAAGTCTCAAGTAGAGCCTACAGGTTGTCTGTATACAGATCTCATTGACTTCATGTTCTTGTATTTGCTTCCCTGCCATGGCCTGTATTCCCAATTCCTCTGCTGATCCTTATTCTCAGCTTTTCCAAGTCTCCATATACATCCCCATCCTTTTTTAAACAAGAATTTGAGATACTGTCGTATATAATTAACTTGATTTTCTCTCTCCAGCTATTGACTTTTCCTTTCTTCACCATGCCTTCAAGTTCTGTGAAATGGCTGTTGATAATAAGCTCCCAAGTCTTAATACTAATGGTAGTTTTAATATTAATACTAATGACAAGCAGCCTATTTTCTGCTCTTGGAACTTCATCAGAACTACTCTCACAATACCTATAAAAAGCACTTTAAGCCCACATTTCAAGTTTCATCCTAAACTGATTTTTGATCTGTCCACTGTGATCAAACTCCTGATTATTTTCCGCTGCTGTCTGCTAATAGTTTTCGATGGTCACATTCTAGCACAGACAATGCTTCAAAGTGCATTTTGTTCTTTTAGTTGGCCGGGGCATCTGAGCTTAACACTTATGGCACTTACATGTCATACTGTAATGTTCCACAATATATTTCAAAACATCAGAAATTTAGACATACTTTTTGAAGAAGGAATCAATCAGGTTTAATCAATATTAAAAGCTACATTTTATGTCATTTGAGAAACAAAAACACTGAATTTTGAACACTCACACTCACCTTCCCTGACTTTGGTACCTCCAAGAACTATCGCAGATATACCAACTGATGAGGACAATAGCCAGATACAGATGTTGATTATCTTTGCCTTGAGAGGTGTACGGAAGTCCAGAGCCTTCACAGGGTGACACACAGCAATGTATCGATCAACACTCATCATCGTCAGTGTGAATATGCTGGTGAACATGTTATAATAGTCAATCGAAATGACTATTTTACACAGCACATCACCAAAGGGCCAAGAATTCATCAGGTACTCAGTGCTTTGGAAAGGCATGGTCGTGGTAACTAGCGCATCTGCCATAGCCAGATTGAAAATGTAGATGTTGGTTGCTGTCTTCATCTTCGTGTACCTGAAGAACAAAAAAAAGTAAGGCGTTATTAATTCAAGATATGAGTATGCACATTCAGATATGTAGCAGTTTATCAGTCAGGCTTTGCCATAGTTGGGTTTTTTTCTAATTTATGACAGAAGTTCACACCAATGCAAGACCCTTGGGATAATAGTAAACACATTTGACCCAGTCTCTCAGCACCTGCATTGCCAGTTAGAACTATTCACCACAGGCAAAACCAGGTGTATGAAACATTTAATCTAATTAGCCAAATGCTGGTTTCAATTCTATCTTCTCAAACACTTCTAGAAGAAAGTATCACTGTTACATTTGCAAGCGACCAAAATGTTTTGTGTTTCCTTTTCTTAGAGCTGACTGTCAGTGATTGCCATCTTTCTGGGTTTGTTTAGTGAAAGGAACATTTATCCCATTCTTTGGTAAGAATCCATGTTAACTGTTACATCTGCCGGGCCAGATTGCCTCTTATATGATAGTTTCTCTACCCTGAATTCACTACAGTGATGCCAGCTTATACAAATCTTAGTCATTTCCCTTCTTTGGTCCTTCATTTCCAATTTCTCCTCCTTATTCTCAGCTTTTCCCAGTCCTCATTTTTGTGACTGCTAATGTAAAAGATGAATATTGTTTAACTAGGATACCACAGTGGGGAAAAAATTTATCATCGTAGTATTTTTTCTGCAGCCTTTAATTTCACCAAAATGAAGCACTTGTTTTGTCCAGTTGGCAAGAAGCGTACACAGAAAAATAGCATGTGGGTTTTTCTGAGATGGCACCCTGCTTTGTTCTGCCCTGATGACAGCCTGACTCTGGGCTGTGTCCCAGGGCATGGCAGACTGCTTCCAGCTCTGCTGTGGACACAAAGGAAGAAGAAGAGCCTGTTAACATAGAGATATACCTAAATCTCCTTTCTGAAATGCTTCCTCCCCCCTAGATAATTTTGCTCATTGCTATTAATTTAACCTGAGATTCAATGATAGATTTTCTTTCTCAGAACTGTTTCACCCACATGGTTCGAATGTGTATCCAAACTAAAAGCTGCACATGCAACACACAGAGAAATATCTCTAGCTAGATTTTGGTATGTATTATTAATAATTTACAGTGGAAACATAATACTTGATCAGTCCAGCTAATGAACATGCAGGGCACTGTGTCTATTTGCCTTTAAAACTTTGATGTGAAAAAAAAAAATAATTTGAAAAAAAGTCTTGACAAACTGTGCCCAATGAGTAAATTAGCTATTAATTAAAATATGAGCAGACATGTCATTTTATGACCAACACGAAATGTTAAAAATATCATCAGTTTTTCTAAAACAACTCTAATTACGACTTACTGAGCAAATGAAACCAAATGCTGGTTTGAAGCATAGAAAAAAGAACTGCAAGGGAAAAGTGAACCCTTCTCACCCAGATACCATCCTCAGGCTCACATCTTGAACAAAGCCATAGCCAGTGAAGCATTAGAAATACCTGAGCAAAGGCAGCAACAAAAGCTCTGCACTGACGGCGTGACCCCCATGGTCTAGACTCCCTCTGCCCCGGTTTGAGCTTCTCCAAGACAAAAGGCAGAGCCCAGTCAGAGCTGGGCTTCTGCCCCCTCCCCAATCAATCTCCTCAACAAGTCCTCCAGCAGAGGAGGCAGCCCCTCCTGTAGGTCACATTACAGCCCGTCAGGCACTGTTCAAACACAAATATGAGAGTATGGAGCTAGAAGAAACAAATACAAGACACATTACCAGGCTAGGAACTTTCCTGCTGGTAAGAAAAAAGCAGCTCTGAGTGCATCTCAGCTCTAAGACTGAACAAAAACTCACTAAGCACTCAGATTGCAAATCTCTTCTAAAATGGACTAATTTCCATTAAATGTCTGAAAACAAGTAGTAGAAAGTGATTTTACTTCTATGGACATCACTGATGATATTTGGAATTTTCATTTTGTTCATATTGCAAAAAAAGACTGTGAAAAGTTGAAAAGGATGCATAAAAAGCACCACAAAAATAAGTGAAAGGACTGGAGAAAATTCTTACTGTGAGTAACTTAAAGAGCTCAGCACATTTAGTTTATCAAAAAGAACACCAAGAGGTGACTTGATTACAGTGTCTGAAGACCTCCACAGGGAGAAAATAGCAGATACTGAAGAGCTCTTTCAGACTGCAAAGAAAAGCGTAACAAGGACAAATACATAAAAGTCAAAGCCAGACAAACTCAGCTTAGAAACAGTGACAGATTTTTCCTAACAGCTAAGATGATTATTACTGGGAACAAATTACACTAGAAAGGAGTAATTTTTCCATCTTTTGATGTCTCAAAATCAATGTCTGCTGCTTTGCAAAGGGTGTGCTTCAGTCAAATACAAGTCACTAGACTCAACACAGGCATATTTAAATGAAATGCAATGGCCTCTGATAAGCAGAGGTGAAGTAACTAATAGTTCTTCTGAATCATTACCTCTGTAGATCTTTAAAAACTTCCCCAAGGGTTTGGAAAGGGAAAGTTTGCTTTCACATATAGAAGAATTAGTTTGACCTTTTTTCCTTAAAGAAAATCAGAAAAGTAGTGAAAAATAACTGAGAGGATAGTCTTAACCTTGAAAAATCAAATATCTGAAAGTCTTTATATGTAGCATTTCCTGTTCTCTGCAACCTTAATTCAACCCTTTTTTGTGTGTGCCACTGTGGCCATATATACCATATTTTCCCAGTACCCCTTTCCTTTCACCCTCCAACCTTCTACCAGCAGAGTAGGAAAGACCCTCTTAAAAATAGAACTAGTATTTTGAGTAACTTCAAAATGCAAATTTTTGAAGCTGTAACATAAAACATGTTCTCTGTATATGTACTGTTTGTTACACATGTAAAGTGACCAATTTTGATTTTTGGACTATGTAACACATGTACATATAAGAAAATCACTTTTTCTCACTGCTATTGATCCCACAGGAAGGATGTCTTGTCATTCACAGATAGTGAGAAATATAGAGTCATCCCAGCATCAGCATTTAGACAAACTCCAATGTAACCAAAGCAAAGCTACATATGGGAGTGAAAATATAACACGGAAAAGAAAAACCCACAGTATGCCGTTCCTCTCATAAAGCTCTGTGAAAGCTTTGGCTCATTTCAGGGGCAGGTATGCACATAACGATCCCAGCTTTGATAACCTTACCTAGTGTGCATCTAGTAGCTTCCCCATAGCTCACCAGCCTGGCGGTCCCATGACTAGCTTGGTCTTGCTCACATCCACCCCAGTTCACAGACCACAGATGCCTCCTTGCACCACTCACTCTTAGCCGGAATAGGCACCTCACCCCTTCTGTGCCAGACTTTGAAAAAGAAGACCGATAAATACTGCTCCAATAAATACTTTATTACATTTAGGGGGTCATGCGGAGGGATCATGCGTACGTATCTCAGGAATGAAGGGTGCACTGATTAACTTCAGCAATGCTAAGTCCAAGCACATTTTACTGATGCAACCTTAAAGCTCATTGATCTCACACTGGTAATGTAAAGAGCTTGATTACTTTCACCTGAAAACACTGGCCTCTGTGTAAATGAGATGTTGGCCTTTAAAATTGTCAGGCAACACAGATTAAATCATACATTCATTTAGAAGTTCATAAAATTCCGAAATGCCTTTGAGAATCTGAACTCAATCATCCAAACTCCTTTCAATTCAATGTTTTTAATTAAACACCTAAAAATTATTAAATGCCTACATGCCTCTGAAGATATGTGCTTGCAGGCTTAATCAAACGTCCAGTTAAAGTAATGGAGTGACTGCTGTTGCTGTCAGACACTTTGAAGTGGACCCTGATAGTGTCTTGACTCTAAAATGAGACGAGGGATTTGAATACTTTTTTACAACTCCATCCTATCACACTAGAGTATAGGAGGCAATGTTTTGTGTGGTTTGGGGTTTTCCCACCATGCCCTCCATTCACCCAAATCTGCCCTTGAACAAGGTTGAAATAGTGATCAGGGAAGGGAATCTTGTCTTCCTTTGCAAAATTAAAATTATTGATCAAAACCCTGGATTTCATTTAAGGAGAAAATATTGCTGCTTTAATTGGTCTAGCAGAACAGATAAGGGAAATCTGGGCACAACTGCAGCATAGATGGCACAGTGGTAATTAATGACAAATGCTTTCTTAGTGTCTTTGAGATATAACTTTCAAAGACCATTAAAATATTTATAAACAGTTATTGGTTTATAAACTGTTCATGGGAAATCCTGTGTCTAGACAATGGTTTGTTAAATATTGGGATTTCACAGCAAGGTGACAATTTCTCTAATGCTACATAGGAATGGAAGGTGCCTCTCTCAAATCAGGTGCTAGAATGTAATTTCAAGAGGCAGAAAAACCTCTCATGACTTCAGTTATTTGGTGGATCTTGAGACTGTTTGTCAAGCTACAAACAGGCCTCAAGCCTCTCTAGACTTCAAATAAGTGGAAGATATATGGAAACTCTGCAGAAAAATAGTCAAAATGAAAAATAAAGTGTTGGTTTGGATGTATTTTTTTGATGGATATATGACGAGAGTGTTTAAGGAGCAAGATTTAAATGATGTCTACTTACATCTCAAAAGTAAAATTCGCAAAACTATCACAACTTAAGCTAAATCCACTTTCCAGAAGTGAAAAGTTCTTTGACGCTGACTTTAGACTGACCCCTAGAAAATTTCCTTTATTTTTCAGTTGACTCATCATTACTGTCCTTTTCCGTCTTGAGTAGAATTTACTTTGCACATTTTTCAAGACAGCAAATGGGAAGAAATCACACTTCCAACTGAAGCTTATCAATGAAACTGTGGTAACAGAAAAAGGAAGCATGCTATTAAGGAGTTGGTATGTTTTCAAAAAAAAAAAAAAAGCATTAGTAAATCAGCCAGTAGAGCCCCTTAAAGTTATTAACTCAAGCAGAGAAGATGAGTATGATGTTAAAGTACACTGTAACGTTAGTAAAGCTAATAAAAGCTAAGAAGGAGTCTCT